TATAATTGTTGTGTCTTCCTGATGAATTGACCCTTTTTCCAATATAAAATGTCCCTCTTTATATCTAATGACATTTTTTGTTTTACAGTCCATATTTTCTTGTATTAGTATAGCCATTCCAGCATTCTTATGGTTGCTATTTGCCTGGTATATATTTATTTGCCCTTTTACTTTGAACATAATGTATCTTTGTCTCCTATACATGACATGTATTTTGACATTTTTAAGTCCAGTTTGACAGTCTCTATCTTTTGAATGGGTTGCTTAATGCATGCACATTTAATTATTGATGTGATAGGATTTATGTCTGTCTTTTTGCCTTTTGTTTTCTCTATGTCTCTTTTTTGTTGTTGTTCCTCTAATCCTCCTTTACTGTTTCCTTTTATATTGAGTGGATATTTTCTAGTGTAATATTTAACTGCTTTAATGATTTCTAAGTATATTTTTTGAGTTAATAGTTGTTCTAAGGCTATGATATACATCTTATCAGAATCTACTTCAGATTTATATAACTTCATTCTAGTGAAGTATGAAAACTGTATCCTTACATTGCTTCATTCCCCCCTTTTTGTTTTTTTCACATTTACATATTTTAGTATTATATATTTATTTATTTTATTTATATATTTTACATTTATATATTTACCCAACAGTACATATACGTTACTACCCATATGCTATTATTATTGCTTTGCATAATCTATGTCTTTTAAAGAAGTTGAGAGAAGAAAGGAGAGAAAATAAATATTTATGTAAAGGAACATCTTTGTGGATAGCAGTTATTCACAGGGGAAAGTTACAATCAAAATGGGCATTTTGCTGAGTGTACAGCCCTGCTGCAGCCAGGCTCTGTAAATGCCAAATGAACAAAGGCACTTAATAAATATTGGATCTTGCTTTCTCCACTTGAGAAGGAGAACAAGCTGTTCTAAATTGGTGGAGGGATGCTCTTAGCAGCCGTTTGCAACTCTCTGTGAGCTTGGGTATTGTGTTGCTATGAAGCAGCACATTGTCTAAACATAGCACTAACTATAGAACCCTGAAAGTGGAAAAAGAGAAAAAGAGCCAGAGAACACATTCTCATGGGGACTCATTCATTCACTCATTCAGTCACCAAATATTTACTGATCAGGTTGACTCTGTGTGTAACACTGTGCTGAGGACTGCACAGAACACAGAGATCCCAGCTCTCAGAGAGTTTAGATTCCAGAGGGAGAGATAAGACGTAGATGCCTCATAGCAGTGTCAGATGTGTCCTATTAAACTGTTTGCAAGTTCAGAGGAGAGAAGAAAACCACATCTTGCTTGGATTTACAGTGAAGTTTTCCCAGACAAGGGTAGATGCCTCATAGCAGTGTCAGATGTGTCCTATTAAACTGTTTGCAAATTCAGAGGAGAGAAGAAAACCACATCTTGCTTGGATTTACAGTGAAGTTTTCCCAGACAAGGAGGCATAAGGGTGGTTACTAGAAGAATGTGCAATATTATAACAGTTGGAGCTGGAAGGGAGCAAAGATGTAGAGACAATTGGACCCATGAGATAAAAGAGCCCAGAAAGTCAGATTACAGCCAAATTATGGAGGATCCTAGATATTAGTCTCAAGAGTTTTTGCTACATTCTGTTAGCAACGGGTGTCATGGAAGATTTTGGAACAGAGAAATGGCATCATCAAAGAACATTGGGAGGTGTAATAAGGGATATAGAGAGAGCCCAAATATAGGAAGACATGCTGTTTTCTGAAGCAGTCATCGTAATCCAGGTATAAAACAATAAATAGTGGAACTGAAGTAATGGCCATGCAGATAGAAGGAAAGGAGGAGTATGGGAGGTTCTATAAAGGATAAACTCTCAGTGCTTGGTCATTGATTGGATGTGTTTACTTACACATTTAACAAACATTGTCAGTAACTGTGCTAGCTGCTGGGATGCAAGAGTAAGCGAAATATAAACCACGATCCTTTCCTCATGACGATATATGGGTGAAATGTGATGAAAGCCATGGAGGAGAATTCATGGTACTATGAGGGCTTATGATGTGGGATTTCATGGGTCAGGGAGGTAGGGAATGTTTCCTTGGCCAAGTGACACATGAGCTGAGATGAGAGGGACATGGAGGTGTTAATTAAGATTGAAGGGAAGCACTTTTCACACAGAGGGGACAGCATGGACAGTGACCCAATGTAAGTGTGCCGGCCTGGGGAGGCCACAATGGGCTGGACTACTGAGAATGGAAGGGACTGGGGTACAAGATGAGGCTGCGGAGATCAGGCCCCGGCATGCGCAGAGGATGCTTTGCCCTGCAGACTAGTGCTACACAGCATGCCAGTGCACCATGACATAAGGAGCTGGTTCTAGAATGTAACTCCATCTGCTGCTTCTTTCATCAGGAAAGTCTTGTTATGAAAAAAATGCCTGCTGAACTAAACAGTATGCTCAGTGTGGATGTGATTTACATTCTCAAGCAAGCCCCTTATTGTATGAGAACGGTAACAGTTCTCAACCAGCAGCCAGTCTGTGAACTCCACATTGAGTAGAACACTATTTTAGACCACTGTGAGTTTTATCTTTATCCTAAGAGCAATGGGGAAGTCACAGAAGGATTTAAAGAGGAGGTGATGGTGGCTGCATTATGAAGAATGGACAGAGAGGCAGCCAGAGTTAAAGGAAAGAAGACAAGGAAGCTTGTGTCTGAACCTTGATTTTCTGTTGGAATAAGTAAGGTGTGTCCTCTTCAGGTGAGACAGCAGGGACATAGAACAGAATCTAGTGGTGACATGAAAAGAGAGGAGGAAGTTTGGAACAGCCACTGTGAATAACCATAAAGAAGGGAATGGAATAAAGTGGGGACCACATACCACATGTCAGTCAAAACGAGACAGCCTATGTTGTTGGGCAGGGTGACATTGCTCTGTGACTGGATCCAACAAAACTTGCTGCTGTGGAAGCAGGTACAGAGAGGACCAATGTCAGAGATGAGCAGCCAGCACTAGCATTGTGGTTCAGTGGAAAGGTAAGCTGGCTAAGAAGTCTGGGTATGATGTTGTCAGGACTGATGGGGTGTACAGCACAGTGAACAAGAGGTAAAGTGACGCCATTACATTGGGTGGAAGGTGAGGATGGAACACCAACATTTAGAATGAGCAAGCAAAAGAAGCTCAAGAGTGAGACTGAGAAGGAATGAGAGAGTTTAAAAAGGTGGCTTCATGGAAAACAGGGAGGAGGGAGCTTTAAGAAGGTAATGGACAACTCCATTAAGTGATGCTGGAGACACACACAAAAAAGGATGTAACAACACAGGGTTGGAGGTCAGTTCTCTGGGTTTTTCCACCTACTTAGCTGCACTGTATGTTACTTAACTTCCTTGTTCCTCATTTCTCCCCCTTTGTAAGGTGGATATACAATAGTATATTCCTCGTGGAGATGTTAGGAAATAAAATTATTTCCTACTTAAACAGTGCTTAAAATAATGCCTAGGACACAGAAAGGACTAGTTATCAGGGAGTTAGCCACCATCATCAGTACAAAACAAGGTAGTAAATACAATAAAGTCCTAAATGCATGGAACACTATACGGTTCGTCAACAACCGTGTGAAGTAAGTAGAAACGACAGAATTAAGAGTCACTTCTAGAAATTAACAGAGACATAGAAGACTTTATGGACAATGGACATCCAACCAGCCGTCACAGATCTCTTCCTGAGTGTAGTCTCTGTCCCGAGCGCTGCAAGTGCAGACACGTTCTCCAGGAGTTTAGGCCATTTTTAAAAAAAATGTGCTGCTACATCCATATCTCACTTTTACTCGGATCGATCAGTAAACCCTTTTTGGAAATCCCAAATTCAGCCTAGGCACGGTCTCTGCACCCAGCCCACCACCTCACGCCCTCACGCCCTCACGCCCCGCCCCAAGAGGCGTGGCTTACGTGCAAACGCTCGGCCAGCGCGATGACGTCTCCTCGCCCCGCCCCCGCCGGCTCCCGCCCTCCGGCTTGAACCGCAGACCCGCGCCGGGCAGGGCGATGAGGCGTGCGCCAACGGTCTGGGCCGCGGGGCGGGAG